ATATTATTTATAATATATATTATTTTATAATAATTATTATAAAGAGTCTGAACTTTAATTGTACGAGCATTGATTACATAAATTTTATGATTTACATATATTTATATATATATATATATATATATTATTCGTTGTATTTAAAATTTTAAAATATCGCGATTTGAAAGGCGATTCAAAGAGTCGTTATGAGAGTGGAAGAATTTTTCACGTTCGACCCGACGTCTTTCTCGTAAAAGAGATTCTCCGTAGAAAACGATCGCAGCGTCGTTTATCCGGAAGAAAATGAATAACAAGCAACAAGAAACGATCCGCCGGAAGAATAATGGCGTTCGCGTTTCGTCGAATGACTCGAAAGAATTCCGAAGTCGGATTGTTCCGTGCACGGCGTTCCTCGTCTTTTTCCTCCATTTTTTGTTTAAAAAGCGGAAACGCGTTCGTTCTCTGTTTATTATTTCCGCTGAAATCACGTTACATGCTCCTTTCCGTCGAAGGGAATTTAGCGAAGAATAACATACCGAGATGAAAAATGAAACGACTCTTTCAATGGACATATAGAAATTCATGAAACCAAGTTTCACAATTTTTCTGAAGTCGCACTGAGAAATGATTGCTGTCTCGAAAGCTGGCGACAACTTCAATTCGAAAAGAAATTGATGTTCCTTTCAATCGTTCTGAAATTGCTTTTACTTCGATCTCACTTAAATATTTAAACTTCAATTCTAAATGTTTTTCAAATTGTTCTTCTCGTCGATTGTATGAAAATTTTGAAAGCAAGTACATGGAAATTCTGGAAGTTTGAATTTATAAAATAATCTTTCGTTGAAAGCTTGCAAAAATTCGGATTCAAAACGGTTGAAATCTTACTTCCAAAATTATCTTTCAAAATTGTTTTCACCCTTTGCAAAGTGAGAAGAGATGTTAAAAAGGAAGAACAAGTTATCTAGATAATGTACTGAAAGGATTTCAAGCAACAAGAACTTTTAGGAAGAAAATATAGATTGTAACTCAAATATTTGAAGTGGATCTTCGTAACGTTAGCTAATATTGCAATGACCAATATTTTTGGAGTATTCTATGATGTCGAAAACATGTTTAAGCTCAATAATAAGTTAAAGTACAGTCTTAATAGTGTAAAATTTGCTGACGTATTGAATTTTAAAATTGTTTCACGATATATCATGTCGTTTCACGCGTATTTAAATTATTACACTTTCATGTTGAAAATTAAACAATATTCTATCTTTTTGAATTTTGAAATTATTCCACTAGAAAAGGCGAAATAAATGATTTATCATGTGTCTTTTCTCACGATATTGAATTATTGAAAGTATTTTATTTATCTTGTGCTTACATTCTTATATTGAAAATTAAACAAGTTTAAAACGAAAGATTTTATCCTGTCTTTTCGTTTGATATCGAATGATTCAAAATATTGCGTCTCCTTGATAATTGAACAATTTACAAGTTCATATGACAACCTTTTTCAACAAACTAAGTCTATGGAAATGAATTTTTCTCCGTCTTAAAGTTAGCTATAAAGCTGTATTTAATTGTTTTAGCTACAAAATTTCCATTACCTACCTGCAAATACGGCATTCTAATTGTAAATCTTTCTCTATTTTTCTCCCGTGCCGAATTCCCCGTCGAAACTTTTGAAATTTATATTCGTACTCGTCTAATTACAAGCCAGCACAAAATTGAGAACCTTATTGCACGAATCTCAACTTCCAACGAAATTACGCTTAATTAACCACCTTGTAGCGCAAACAGAATTCATGAAACCCGCGTTCACGTTTAAAGTTTCGTATTTTATATAAATTGAAACGAAGCGTGTTTATCCCGAAATACGGGCCGATCGTTCTTGCGATATATCTCTATATATCACGTCAATAGTTTTTTTTTCTTTTTTTCATTTTTACATGTTAAAAGAATTTTTTTTTTCATTTTTTCATCTGCTGTATCGGTGAGTAAAGGATATATTTAAAAAAAAAACTTGACGTTTCAATTTTTGTTCATTTGTTATGACCTTTCGTATTTTACGAAAATACAATCATGCTTCGTTAACGAAGACTTCGATAAAAAAAAAAAAATGGATATTAAACTACAAATTTAAGAACTTAAAAATTAATAATTAAGCTTAAAATACTCTTGCATTATAATTATTCGTGGAAATATATATTGTTTCATTTCCATTTCGTAGTTTTACAGTGTCATTTGTCGTTTGTAAAAATTCTTAAACCAATTTCTCGCGAAAGTTCGAGAAAGAAATTACAAAATTAGACTGAATTGGATATAATTAGAAATAATTAGAGATTGGATATTATATAATTTCACATCCCGTCCCTTGCCTAATCGAAACATTTTGTCTCGTCTGCAATATAGATATTAGTAAAGATAATATAGAGCTAATATAGACATAATGGAGATAATATAGAAATAATATAAACATTAAATGGAACTTCGTGTCTCAAAAAAATTACTGATTTTCAGCGCCCTCTACGCTTAAACAACGGTGAATTCGCGAACTAAACCAAGTACAATGTTCAAGCAAAATGGAATCCGTGATGGCGTTGTCAAACAGTGTATCTCGAGATTTCGAAACACGAACTTAGTATCTAAAACTATTTTATATTATCTATTTATACGTGTATCAGAAAGAGCTCTATTCGTGTTTTAAGAATTCATCGACACACACGTTTCCACGTAGAGTATTGAAATTTTAAATTCCAAGCTGTGAAAAAGAAATATTGATTGACAAATTTTAAATATGTAATCATCTCTTCTCAAAAGTAACTTCTCAACTAACTAAACTTTCCAATTACTTCTTGAAATTATTTTCGGCTGTAATACCGATCCAAAGGGTGTGAAAAAGGCTGCAAAGCTATAAATTCTTAGCTTCGAGAATCCATCACTCGAGAATAGATCGATAGACATTTCACTTTTATGAAATCTGAATACATATAAGGTAAGAACAAATAGCTAACAATTTGCGACAAATCTACTTGTTTTACATCCGACCATGCGTTGACCTATACTACTGGAACGAAACATGAGAAACGAAAAAGCTGGACTGGATGTCCGATTTATTCTTTAGTTAGTCAGTGATATTAGCCCACAGTAGAGTACACTGTTAATGGTCAGACGGCCCGAAATCGTTCGCATACGTTCCAATTTACGTTCACACGCTTCGACGACTTTATTTCCATAGCTTTCCTCGCGCGCTGTTTCACCACTTTTATGGACATGTTTTGTTGACAAAAAAGAGAGAGAGAGAGAGAGAGAGAGAAAAAGATTAATAGAGAGAAAAGGAAAACGATTTGTAGAAACGCAGCCCACTCTTTCGCGTGTGCCAGTTACATTGCGGGATTTAGTGAAACAGCTCTAATTAGCGTAAATTGAGGGCCGACGGGGGAGCAACTTCTCGCGGGAAAGAGGTTTCATAAGCTCCGGCTGTGCTGTTTGTCTTGCGACTTGGACAAACCTTGGCAAGTTTTGCTTGCACCGCGCGATTCAATGGACGTCGATTGAAAGCGCGGCTCTGAAGAGGCTCGTCGAATATTCCTCGTCGAAAAATTACTCGGAAATCTCGTCTAATTATCGTTTACCATTAAACGAATTACCGGGCGTAATTGCCGGGACCAATGTTGTGCAAAATCTGCGAGATCTTCGCAATTTTCGCTAACGATGATAACTTAATACTCTGCTGTCAATGACTAGTTTGATGAAACGTTAATTTTTGCATAATACGATGAAACGTTTCGCATCGTAAGAGGATTTTTGGTATTTCAAAATGAAAAGCTGAGATTGCGCGCGATTGATTGTAAAAGCATCCGCCATATTTTCCATCTAATAAGATATTTGTAGAACAATACTGAGTAAAATATAGTTGACGTATGAACTTATAATTGATCAACTCCTGTTATTCTTCTTACCCACTATCTCGTATTATTCAAACGAATAAGAGTAGGCTAATTTTCTACGTTTTACTGTAGAAAATTTTTACTGGAAACAGACTCGGGCATTTCAACAAAAATCTATTAATATTACAACTCTTTGGAAAAAGAATGAGAAGATATTGAAAAATTATTACGTATTTTATTTACGTAAGAGATGTGTGAGATTGCTTGCCAATTTTCGTTCATTTCTCGTTAGCATATTATACAGTTATGCTTGAAATTCTTTATCATTGTAACCAGAATTTATAAGAGAAGGACAACTGTCAACCATTCCAATTTCAAATCTAAGAACTGATAAATAATTCATTTATGAAGGAAATATAAATACAAAAAAAAAAAGAAAAGAAATAAAATGTTCAAAGAATAGACGATTATTATAGAAGATTAAATCAACATTTGTACAGCGAATTAAGATCCAAAATGACCTACGTGAAATGACACAAACCATAGTCACGTCCACCAAGCAACTTCCACTCGGAAACTTCCAAGTCTTACCATTTTCACTCCTCTCATTGTACATTCCTGCTTTTAAATAATAAATCACCGTGTCTGTTTAAACTTCCCTCGTCGCTCGGAATCAGCAAACGAAGAGAAACGAAGGAGCAGCCTGGTATCAAAGAAGACAAACGAAGCCAGGTTAAGAACGATACTTGATACTCGCGGAATATTTTCACCGGTAGAACAAAGAGGGTAATCTAGTTTGAAAGTTTCCCCCCTCGGAAAAACGGGAACGGAACGTCAAATTGATAACGATGATTGTCGCGCGAGCAAACTTGCCTCCCTACAGCACAGTACAATGGCGCGTTTAAAAACAATGTTTCAGCTGGAGCAGTTGTACATAGAAGTCCTCTACACGGTTGCCAACACTGTGGGCGCAAGTACCGGACAATACGCCCACTACAAAGAGGATCTTTATAAGTACGCGCAGGAAGCGTTCGGAGTTCCGCAGGATCAACATCGACGATACCTGAACATTGCATCTGAAGAG